GGGGGGGGGGGGGGGGGGGGGGAGGACCTCATCTACCAAAATCTAGTCCTAGGTGTGAATGAGCGAGGCTTCCTAGTTTTATTTTTTTATATATATATATTTTTAAATTTATTTTGAGAGAGAGAGAACACATGGGGAAGAGGGAGAGAGAATCCCAAGCAGGCTCCACACCACCAGCACCGAGCCTGACGCAGAGCTTGAACTCACAAACCGCGAGATCGTGACCTGGAGGCTTCCTGATTTTAAACAGTATTGCTTTGGTGTTCCTTATCTTTTCGTGGTGGAGATATATTCATCCAGTAGACCACTGTGCAGTTTTTAAAATGCTAGACTCCCAGTTTGCAACAGTAGAGAAGGCTATCTGACACAGGAAGGAAAGGTTGAGTACAAAACCGTGTGCAGGCTGGGGTGGCAGCCAGCCTCAGACGGGGATGCAGGAGAGGAGAACTTGCAGGGGAGGCCACCACTCTGGGAGGGCGAGGCTGGAATTTAGGAGGCAGGATTACAGGTGGCTTTACCCCTTTCTTTCAAAATTCTTTCATTTTGTTGTCAGCTTTTCCAGCAACACTAATAATAAAAAGTAACAGAGGAGTTGTCAAAATTATAACATACGCTTTTGTAAACAAAGGCAGAGCCCTGCGAAGCACAAATAATTAAACTTACGCAACGTCGGATATCCCCGAGGCTGTGGTTCCTCACTGCGGATTGCAGGTGCCCAGCTCCCTGGAACGTCTTCCCTCGGGGTCGCCGGGAGTTTGTGACCTGGACACATACCATACCTACAACCACATTAGGATTTCAGTTTCATTCAGGTTTAAGATTTCCAGTTCAGCAAATAACTTGCTTTGATGGGTATTAGATTGCTAACTTTTTAAAGAAACACTCGGGCCGTGTGCAAGCACTATTGCTAAGTGTATGCTTACCGCCATGGCTTATCTGTAACAAAATGGCGACCATTCAGCCCTCGGATTGGCCGGGTCCTTCGGGAGAGTTACTTTCACTCCCTGCCAAAATGCCACAGGGGTATGGGGATGTAGAGTGGAGCAGAGAAGTGGTTCGGATGACTCGGGTCAGTGGGGCCAGCCAGGGTGGATGCCTGGGGAAGTAAGCCCCCGCTGCTGCAGAGCTGGGCCTCTCTGGAAAAGCCTGCAGGTCCGGTGGCAGTGTCCTTTGAGACCCGCATCATCTCAGGGTCCCGCCCTGGGGCCAGGCAGGATCAGTGACTGAGCTTTCCTGTGGCCGCTTTCCTGCTTTTTTCTCCTTCTCTTTTCCTTCCCTGCCGTGTGTGTGCACGCACGTGTGCAAATGTCCACGCACGTCTTGAGTTAAAATTCTCTGAGTTTTGGAGGGAGGACCTTTCGGGTCCCTTCACTTCAGTCTCGATCTCTCTGTGAGCAGAGCTTTCTCCAGGCCACCTCGTCTGTCCCTGACCCGTCAGCTGTGAATCGCTTGCCTTGGACACCCACTCCTGGTCCGTCTAACTGAGCCAGGATGTTAAGGTTGGCAAGCGAGGGATAAGGAGCCCGGCAGAAGGGAAGGCGGAGGAGGCGGGCGTGGCAGGCGTTCCAGGTGGGAGAGGACAGAGCAGACACTTCTCATGGTCTCTCTCGCTGTCGTGTGGGGAAACCGTGTTCCGCTCCACTTGGGGCTTTGCCAGAACTCCAGTCCACACGCCCGCGTCTGGTTCTTCTGTTCAGGGGTTGGATCGCTGGGTGCTCCGGTTGCCACCACCCTCTGTCTCCTGATGAGACCAGAGGTCATCGTGCCTGATGACCTCCTGGCGGGCTGCCCTTGCTCGGAGCGCGGACGCAGGAGGGAGCAGCAGCTTTAGTGACAGAAAGTCCTCTGACTTTCCACTTCTGCTGTGCAGTTTTCGAACTTTGGAACCCCTGTTGCCTCACTCACAATGGGATTGAGAATACCTGTTCTGTAGGGCTGTGAGAATTAGCTGAGGGGGGCAAGTGCTAATTGCATCACGGTTGGGTGCTGAGGTAGGAGTGACACAGGACAAGTGACTTGAAGCTCCGGACAGAGATTGAGCCAGGAGGATGGCTCACCCGCCTTTCCATGTGGCTCTACGATGTCATCCTGCCCTTCACTTCCTTAGTTCAGAGTGAATTGTTGGCTTAGCCAACGTTGGGGTCTTGCTTGGAGGCCAGAAGGTACTGCCACGTCTTTTGTGTTTATCTGAGTGTCTAGAGCCAAATTGTATCACCTCCTTTATTTTCCTTTGTTTTACCATCTTTTCCCCCTTCCCCACCTCCAGAGGTTAACCAATTCTATTGAAACCTTATGTCTCCCTTTGAAGAATTTACTTTCATATAACATCTGGTGATTCTCCAGATTCTCTTTTTTTTTTTTCCACTTTGTCTCACCCAGGTATAAGCATTTATGGTGAGACATTTCCAGATGAGAACTTCAAACTGAAGCATTATGGCATCGGGTGGGTCAGCATGGCCAACGCTGGGCCTGATACCAATGGCTCTCAGTTCTTCATCACCTTGACCAAGCCCACCTGGTTGGACGGCAAACATGTGGTATTTGGAAAAGTCCTTGATGGAATGGTAACTTGATATGTTATTATTTCTCATTCAAAGCCTTCTATTTATAATGAAGGACTTTCAGTGATTTATTTTCCTCCTAAAATGTGTCTGTTAGAGGTTCATTATTATATGATGACTGGCTTCTTCAGAGGTGAAAAAACTGGTATTTTATTTTTTAAATTTTTTTAATGTTTATTTTTGAGAGAGAGAGAGAGACAGAGCACGAGTAGGGGGAGGGGCAGAGAGGGAGACACAGAATCCAAAGCAGGCTCCAGGCTCTGAGCTGTCAGTACGCGGAGCCCAATGCGGGGCTTGAACCCATGAACCGTGAGAACATGACCTGAGCCGAAGTCACACGCTTAACCGACTGAGCCACCCAGGCGCCCCATATTGTGGTGTTCTGACTGTTAGGAGCACCGGGGCAAAAGCTGGAGACTTGACGTGGAAACACTGAGTACTTAATTTATCTTACTACTTGATATAAATGAAAACTTTTTTAATGTAACCAAATAAGACTCGGGTCCCATATGTGTACACAGTAGAATAATATTCTGCCTTAAAAAGGAAGGAAATCCTGTAACGTGCTACGACATGGATGAACCTTGAGTATGTTAAGTAAAATAAGCCAGTCACAAAAAGACCAAATGATTCTACTTTGGTATCTAAAGTAGTCAAATGCACGGAAACATGAAGGAGAATGGTGGTTGCCAGGGGCTGGTGAGGAGGAAGAAATGGGAGTTGGTGTTCAGTGGGTGCAGAGTTTCAGTTTTGCAAGATGAGAAAGTTCTGCCCATGAGCTGTGCACTGTGAATATACGTAAGACTGCTGCATTGTCCATGTACGAATAGGTAAGACGGTACATTTTATGTTAGGTGTTTCTTACCACAATTAAATATAAACTGTTAAAAAAAGGACACTGAGCCCCAGGTGCTTCAGGACACAAACAGGTCACTTTCGAAGTCACAGTACAGCAACCAAAACTGCTAGAGAGAACTCAGATTTCTGCTGGTCTGTCTGAAAGAATAGCTGAGGGATCCGACTCCTAATCCACGGGAACACGTCTTAAAATCCTTACTCTCTTCAGTTCCCAACACTTCTCCTTAGCAGCTAGCTGCCCACAGAAGCTCTCCCAACTCCTAAACTAGCAGCTGTAAGGTCCGCTCACCCCAACCCTGGACCATTCTTGACTCCCCTGCCCTCTTCCATATTTGATTTTGTTTCATTCTCAGGTCGAGTTCTGCCTCTTCCCTCCAAACGTTAGCTCCGTTATGGCGATTCTTCCCCACCTTCTCCCCGCTATCCTGATTCTGCCCATCGAAAAGCCAGGAACCGAGCTGACCCCCCTCAGAACCTAACCCACAGGGCAAGAAAGTATTCAGCCTGCACTGCTGAAGATAGGGTTCTCACGGGCGAGTGAGATGAAATATGGCCAACACGGATGACTTCGCAGCTCACTTTACATCCTGTCACGATAAAGAACAGGCCTGTGTTCTCACGAGATGTCACTGTCCTCACAGGACTGTATTCTTACCCAGTCACAAGTGCACCACTCTGCCAGCCTCTAAGGGAATGCTGTTCTTGGCGTGAGCCGAACGGGGGTGTGTGTGTGTTCAACCAGTCTGGGTTTTTGACCAGTGGGTCGAACCAGGTTTTGAACAGTTTAAAAGTAAACTGGTTCAGATGTTCCCGCAACGAGTTTTGTGGAATACATCACGCTAACCCGTGAGAGAATGAAGAGTGCACGTGTTGTGTTTTCTTCTTCTGGTCACGGTTTTTCTAGATCTTCTGACCTCTCGATCTTCTGATGGCTGTAACTGACTGCACTGAATTCCTTCCACCCACTGGGGTGCATCCTAGGAGACCTGCCTGGCCTCAGAGGAACAGTCCTTAACGTTCTGAGTCATAGACTTCTTTGAGAGATTAATGACAACTATATTCTCTCCAGAAAAAAAAAAAAAAATCACCAGACGTTTCTCTCCAGAAGGAAACAATTGTGTGTGTGTGTGTGTGTGTGTGTGTGTGTTTCGTACTGTTGCCCTCTTTGTCTCAACCTTGTGTGGGAAGCAGGTCAGAAGCCAGTATTCCTAGTCCTGGACAAATCCTCCCTCCTTCAGTGTGAAGCGTCAGGTGTGTGCAGCCTTCCCAGGTAGAGAGAGGGCTTTCACGCCACTGTGGGGCTGGGGCCTCTAACTCAACCTGGAGGTTAATGGCTGGGGTCAGCTTGAAAATGGACAAACCCAGACCCTGCTCCGCTCCTAAGGCTGCCTTCTGACCTGGTTTCTTAACGCCTAGACCGTTTACAGGACAGAGCAGAAACTGATCCATGCTCCACGTTAACTCTTACGTCGGGTGTGAAGCAGGAAGAAATGTATTTCATGAGAGCCATGTGTGTACAAAAATATCTAATTATGTTTAGAATATAAAATGCTAATTAAAAGAGGGAAATTCACACATACGTTCTTTCACTAGCAAGGGAGTGGATACATTTTATTCTGTTGTATGTAAATTTCCTGAATATGGTAAGTTTACCATGGTTGGCGGGTGTGGTTCTTGAAATCATACCAAGGGGGGCTGGGGGTGGAGAAAACCAATAAAAAGCAAAAACAAAAAAACAAAAAAAACCCCTGGTTTCCCACTTGGGCTTTCAGACTGGGCAGCGATTTCACCTTCTGACCGCCACGGTTGCCAGTCAGAAGCGAGCCATGGGTCTGCTTGTCTTTCCTAGACAGTGGTCCACTCCATAGAACTGCAGCCAACTGATGGGCACGACCGTCCGCTCACCGACTGCACCATCGTCAGCAGTGGCAAGGTAGACGTGAAGACACCCTTCGTGGTTGAGGTCCCTGACTGGTGATACAACGGGCAGAAAACAAAGAACACACTCTGGCAGGGATGGTGTGTGTGTGTGTGTGTCTTTTGATTCTCCAAAGTTATTGTTTGCCTTTCTGTTTTGTTTTGGTTTGTTTTTACTTCTGTTTTCTACCCCCGATCACAGGGAAGTTCAGAACATCAGCCACTCAGTGTTTACTTTGCATGAACTGCAGTAAATCACTTGCCTTGGGACTTTGCACTTAGAAGACATAGTCCTCTTTCTCCAATGGTGCTATTTTTAAACTAGAAGACTTTGGATGATCTCTTTTCTTTCTATGAGCACAATCATTATTCTGCTGAATTAAATGTGATCCTCAGGTTGAGGGATGCTGAAGATTTGTCTGAAGAAGATGGGGACATGAAGTTTGTTTTTTTACATTCAAACAAATTCTCTGCAGGTAAAGAGAGATGTGACTAGTGCAATCAGATATATGTCATCGGGACTTTTACCTGGTGGAAGGTGCTTCTGTGTTCTCTATATTAAATGCTTTTTACATAGGTCAATTCTTTTTGCAAGAGTTTTTTTGTTTTTTTTTTTTTTTAGTTTAAAGTTCTTTAAAAAAATCCATGTACAAAAATATACATACTCGGGGCGCCTGGGTGGCGCAGTCGGTTAAGCGTCCGACTTCAGCCAGGTCACGATATCGCGGTCCGTGAGTTCGAGCCCCGTGTCGGGCTCTGGGCTGATGGCTCAGAGCCTGGAGCCTGTTTCCAATGCTGTGTCTCCCTCTCTCTCTGCCCCTCGCCCGTTCATGCTCTGTCTCTCTCTGTCCCAAAAATAAATAAACGTTGGAAAAAAAAAATTAAAAATAAATAAATAAATAAATAAAAACAAAAATATACGTACTCTGATGTTAACAGTGAACAGACTAGAGGGGGTTCTGCCCATCAAAATACCAACACGATTGGCTAATTTGGGATGGGAATGCACACAAATGACGCCTGACCACATCCCAAACACTTGAGTGGATTAACTCACTAATTTTTAGTCACTGTAACAGTTTGAAAAAGTTCCCTTGAGTCCCACTGCAACAAAAGGGCACCTTTTTTCCCTAGTTACACAGTGGGCACGAAGATTCGGGCTGCTCAAACCGGATGAGAAAGTGGAACCCTCCTGGGGCCTTGCTGGAACATACCTGGGTGGAACAGAGTGCCTGGCCTCAAATGGGGGCAGGCTCTGCTCAAAAACGGCCCCGGTGCTTCTCCTCTAGGACCCACGCAGTCAGGACCCCCCCAGGATTCCAGCTCTTCAATAAAAAAAGAAAAAGAACAGTAAATTTTGAGAACTACCTTTGAAAAAAATTCCATCTCTTGGGCTGTATTCTAAGCAAATTGTTTCATCTCAACTGGATGGGAGATGAAATGAGCATTCTCACTGCCGACGGGGGTGTTAGCTGCTGTAACCTTCTTGGTGAGCAACCTGCTCATTTTTTTTTTTTTTTT